TTGGCCGCGCCGGGTCATTGCTGGCCGCGCATTCCTGGCCGCCGGAGCGCTGCGTAGGGAAGATTCTTTTCCCAGCCCGTTCTTGAAAATATCCGGTCCACGTGGAGGAGAAAAGGGGACGGGGCAATGCTCCCGGCCACCCCCCGCGGGCTGCTCCCCCTCCCAACGCAGCCCCGGGGCAGGGAAAGGGGTGCAGGCGGGGACAGCCCCCGAGGGGAGGATGCTGCTCCCCAGGCCAGGCCGGAGCCCAGCTTGCGGGGGCAAAAGGGACTTCCTCTTCCTCCGGGGCTAAACTTCCAGGTAATAAAACTCACGGCAGGGGCTGGACCTGGATCCGCGGCCCTGGGAGCACACCGCGTTCTCCCCGCCGGGGACCCAGGGCCACGCCACGTCTGCACTGCACGCACCACTACCCTCCCCTGCCCTGGGCCCGAGGGGCATCCGGGGCTGCACGACTGCTGCGGCCCCCAGGCCGGGTGGGCTCAGTCCATCGGCTCGTGCCCACCGCCTAAGCTCTGGGGCTAAGGAGGCCGAAGAAAGACCCCTGCTAAAGACTTTGGCGAAGCCGTGTGCAGCCGGGCTGTGACAAGCGCCGGCGCAGCCAGCCACGCAGGAAGAGGAGCCCAGAAAGGGGCTCTGGGGCTGCAGACGGTGCTGGAAGGCTGCAGAGCGCTCGCCCCATTCCTGCCTCGAGCTGCGCCCGCCGCGGAGCTGGCTCCCGCCCTGCGCTTGTGCCCAGGCCCGCGCGCTCCGGGGAGGGCCGTTCAGGGGGACCCCAGGGCTGCACTCGCAGAAAGGAGCGTGGAGAAAAGCGAGCTCATTAGCGGAGTTAAGCAGAACCAGGTGCCGCGCGGAGCCGGGCCCCCCTGCGCACCCCCGGCTGCGGAAGGGGTGGCACTGGCCTGGCTCAGCTGCCAGCGGCCGGCTGATGAATGGCGGGGAAGCATTGGGAAGATGAAAAGCACTAGATAGGAGCCGGGCTGCCTGCTGCGAAGCAGGTGAGGGCAGGAAACCCGCCCGTCCCTGGGTGCCGGGGAGCCGGCGGCTCGGACGCGTGGCTCGGGCTGGGTCACACGACAGCCCGGCGGTGAAGGGAACCCGCCAGAGCAGCAGGGTGCCTTCCCGGCATCACCGCTGCCACGAGCAAGGCAGGGTTCACCCCTCTGGGCACCGCCGGCTGAGCCAAAACCCTGCACCGCGTCTGGCCAGGACGGGGCTAGCACAGAGCTTGCCCCAAGAGAGGCCTGGATGTCCCTGCCCGGGAGACGCACAAGGGCGGCCAGAGCTCGCTGGCCACGTGCCCGGCTCTGCACCTCCGGCCTCTTTCCTCGGAGGCCCCGGGGCTGGCAGGAGGGATGTTGGCGGGTGAGGACGTGGGGCCGAGGCCGGGGAGCCCCTACTGCAGACGGAGGAGGAAGAGCGCGGGGTCCTCACCTGGCTGCCCTGGGGAGCATCCTGCGAGCAGGCCGGGGCCGCGGCTCCGTCTCTGCCTGGGATTTCCAGTCCCCTCCTCATTAACAGCAAGCAGGTGGCCGCGGTGCTCGAGGTGAGAGGAGTCCGGGGGGGCCTGGCCCTCCCCGACCCCTGCCGCGGCCCCAAGGCAGCCGCTTGACAGCTGCTCCGAGCAGGGGGGAAGGGGAGGGAGGGACCCTGCTGCTCCTGCCCCCGGCACAAGGACCCCCACAAGTCACCGGTGTCCCAGTAAGAAGCTGCCCGATGGCAGCCTGCCGCAGCCGGGACAGCCAGGTCCGACACACGAGCGCACCTGGGACGTCCAAACCAGCTGCACCTTGAGGCCTCTGCCCCAGCCATGCCCAGGCTGCAGGGACCTTTCCCGGCACCAACACGGGCTCCTCCAGCTCCACGCGGCAGGTTCAGGAAGGGGAGCACGTGCTTCCTGGTGATGTGCTCGTCCCATAAACACGGAGGCCTCCTGCCACCGGGCTGGGCAGGGCTCTCAGCGTGGCTCCCGCTGGGCTGGGGTCTCCGTTAGCACCGCGTGCAGCCGTCCCTGCTGATGACAGCTGATGTGGACACAAACGACGGCATCTGTGGGACGGCTCCAGAAAGAGCTGATGGCCGGAGAAGCAGCCTGCTCGGCTGCGGGGCAAGGGTCCAGGCCCCTCTTCCCTGCGCCCTCTCCGGCAAAACTAATATTTGCCTTAGTTAAGGGGCCGCGGCAAGCCTGTGTCACGCGGGCCGGCCGGCCAGGAGCAGGGGGAACGCTCCGGCTCGAGGAGGATGTTGAGGGGACCGTGGTGGTGCTCGCAGGGTGGAGGTGGAGGAGGAGGAGGGCTGTGGGAATGACCCCTGACACATCCACGGCACCCCAGCTCCCTCCCCAGGCACGTGGGATGACTCACGACCTGGCCCGACCATCGAGTCATCCTGCAGACGGAGCCGGGCCCGAAGGCTCATCCCGGAGCAGGCTGCAGCGGGAAGGCCCTGGAGGCCCCCACGCAAGGGCTGACTGCACCCGTCCGGCTCACCCTGCAGCCTGCTCCTTCCAGGGGCCACTTCCAGAGTTGGCTTTGACCCACTAAGTGCAGAGCCTGCTTGCCCGAGATACCTGCCGCTCCCTCGCCCGGCCGAGCTGCCTCCTCCCTGGGCCACGCAGGCCTTGGCGGGAGGCGGTGCTGGGCTGCACGCCCACCGCGGCAGGGAGGCAGCAAGCGCCGCTAGCGCTGAACGTCAGTGTAGTCCCCGGCTGCCAGGGCGAGCGAGGCAGGGGCTGGGGCTCTCCCAGGACGCCCGCCGGGGCCAGGACCTCACTCACCCGGTGCCCAGGGGGAAGCGGTTGGTAGCTTTGCCGGCTCTGCACCTTGCACCACGCTCACCGGTCTCGGGGTCCGCGTCCGCACGGCTGATGGAGACAGAGATGCCAGGCTCTGTGCCCGGGGAGGGGTTTGAAGCAGCAGGCTCCGAGCTGGGGCAGACCTTGCCGGCACGTGGCTCCGTGAGGGTTAATCCCTCCGGCAGGAAGGTCTGGATCTGAGCGGGCTCCCTCCCTCCCTCCATCTCCAATACACCCCCAGGGGTCCCCACACGTCCCCTGCTCTACGTGCACACGGGGCCCCGGCACATTCACACCCGCGTGCCCAGGGGGCTTCTGCAGGCACCCGGAGCGGGGGTCACGTTCGTTTGCAGATGCCAGGGCCCCGGAGGAGTGCCAAATCCAGACACCCCGGCCCGTCAGACCCAGGCTGGGCACGGGGCACGTCCTGCGCAAGGCAGGCTGGCCCCCGCGTAGCTAGGGCCCGTGGCCGAGAGCGTCCGGAGCTCGCAAGGGTTAAGGCCTGCCGGGGAGCGCAGGTAGGCGTGCGTCTGGGGCTCCCGCTTGGCTGGGAGCCGGCCCTGCCTGTGGGAGGAGAAGGAGGGGCCTGGCTGACCACTGGCGGCTGCTATAAAACAACTCCCGGCTGCGCCGCACTCCCCGTCTTAAGATGCACATGTGTGCAGAGAGGAAACGCCGGCTGCTGCCGTGAAGAGGCTGAAACCCCTCCGGCGCCGCCAGGGCCAGGGCCAGCCCCAGCCGCCGGGAGGAGCAGTAGGCGCGAGCGGTGCCTGCAGGATCCCTGCCGTCGGCACGGGGGACGGAGCTCCCTTCCCGGGGCGGGCGGTGGCATGAGCGCGTGGAGCTGAGGGGCAGCAGCGCGGAGAGCGGCGAGCGCGCCCAGCCATGTCGTTCGCCATGCTGCGCTCGGCCCCCAGCCGGTACCTGTACCCCGAGATCAGCATGCTGTCTGAGGACGAGGAGAACGGCAGCGAGAGCTCGGGCTCCGACGAGAAGCCCTACCACCTGGACGCCGACGGCTACAGCCTCAAGGGCGCCAAGCGCCGCGGCGGCAAGAAGTCCAGCCGGCTGAGCCGGGAGCCCCGGCAGCGGCACACCGCCAACGCCCGGGAGCGAGACCGAACCAACAGCGTCAACACCGCCTTCACCGCGAGGACGAGGAGAACGGCAGCGAGAGCTCGGGCTCCGACGAGAAGCCCTACCACCTGGACGCCGACGGCTACAGCCTCAAGGGCGCCAAGCGCCGCGGCGGCAAGAAGTCCAGCCGGCTGAGCCGGGAGCCCCGGCAGCGGCACACCGCCAACGCCCGGGAGCGAGACCGAACCAACAGCGTCAACACCGCCTTCACCGCCCTGCGGACGCTCATCCCCACCGAGCCGGCCGACAGGAAGCTGTCCAAGATCGAGACGCTGCGGCTGGCCGCCCGCGCCATACTCCCCCCGGGCCACGG